TACACCATCAAGAGTTGGTGAGGAACCAACCACAAACACCCAAGCCAACCTCACCAGACAACCCAAAACTAACAAACAACAATACAATAGGACAACAACAATAATACCAGCTGCAACAGCCTAATTAAAAATCATTCCCCACACAAACAAGTAGCAAATGAAAAACAAAAATGGGCTTCAAATGAAAAACATCAGCAACAGCACAGGTCAACCACCACAGAGTATAAACTCCTTTTCACCAAGTAGAACCATCAAAAGCCCATCTTCACCACAACATCTACACTTCTGAACTGAACAGCAACAAACATACCTTGCAGCTTCACCACTAGCTCCCAAGCCTCACAATATAGCCCCTGCTGTCCCAGGATCAGCAGCCGAGATCAACTGAGCATATCAACCTAGCATCAACATGAAAGATTTGCAACTTGAGCATAATTGAGCATCCAAGCAGCAAAACACCCACACAGCAAATTCACCAGCAGCACAGCACAGCACAATAGAGTCCATCACAGCAGCAGCCATGCTCAGATCACCCTTAGTCTAGGTGCAAACTCAACTAATATAATATTAGATTAGTCCAGCAGTATCAGCAACATCTCCATTTCTGCATCCCATACTGCAAAGCAGTTCAGTAACTGATCAACAACAACTAGCATTAAAAGCAGTTCAGTAGTAGGACACCCCAACCGATCAACACAAAGCACACAAAGCAGACTCAACCACCATTCCTAATGTAGTATTACATTTGTTGCACACAAAGCAGACTCAACCACCATTCCTAATGCAGTATTACACTTGTTGCAGATTAGACACAAGGTTATTAACAAAAACACCATAGCCATTGGAGAAGCCTTGATCCACATTGCTACTCTCACCTCATACAGCATCAGTCCAACCATCAGCAAACCTCAGCAAGCCTCTATACTACAAATCAGCAACCATCAATCAACATAACTCAGCAACTCCTATGAGCTCTACACTGATTCAACATAACTCAGTACCAAAACATGCGCCACACAGCTGCATTCAACTGCATACAGCAGCATACTACAATACCATGCTTCCTATACCAAACAACCTTTCATAAGATAGCATTAGCCACTAGCAATCAACCAGCATCAGCAGAGCACCAGCATCAGCAAAGCATACCAACAACAGATTCAGACTCAGCAAAAACACCAATGCATAAACTCTCAAAACCTCACATCATAGCCCAGCAGACCTCATTCAAACGGGCAGATCTGAATACCAATACGTCACTTTGAAAGGTAACCATTTTCTTTTTAAAAACGTTTCAGAGCTCTAATAAGAGAGCTTTAGGAGTTTTAATAGGGGTGAGTTCCATTATGATAGTGATGTTTATGTCTTATTTTTTCTTTTTCTTTTTTTTTTTCTTTTTCTTTTTTTAAAATTTTTTATGTCATTAGAACTCATTAAATCAGTTCCTTTATTTAGAGGAATGTATCATTATTATTTTGTTTTTAACGCTTGTTTCGTAATTTTTTTGATTTATAAATAGTATCAGGTTATAAATAAGGGTGAAAAACAAAAACAGAAAAAAAGGTATTTTCGATTTTTAAAAACTAGAAACGTAAAACCGAAACAACAATGATAAAGAGCTCTAATTGTGGGCCACCCATTACATGATTATCATTTAAACATGTTAGGTCCCTATGTTGTCAAATCCGGAGAAAAAACATTGTGTTGATTCAAATGTATTTTTTTGTGTTTTTGTTCTGTCCGCTCGAGCGGAGCCTTGTGAGCTCGAGCGTAGATTAGCAGGTCTCAGTATTTTGTCAGGGCAAGCAAAAAATACTGGTGGGTGTGATTTTACGCTCGAGCGGATTCTCCTACGCTCGAGCGCATCTCAGTTTGTTCGCACGCAGTTTTTGGTCAGTCCGCTCGAGCGGACTGTGTTGAGCTCGAGCGGAGATCGCGGATCCAGATTCCTATTTAAAGCTGTTAAGGGTGTTTTTTTGAAGTAGTTTTTTTTCCTAGATCTGATCTACAAGCACTAGGGTTGTGTTTAAAGTTTTCTTTGGAGATTTTTCATAGTTTTCCTTGATGTTCTTGCTTGATGTTCTTAAGAGAGTTCTGAACTTATGCATTGAGATTCATACATCAAGGAGGTTGTTTCTTAAGTTTCAAGTGAGTTCTCTTCGGTGGATTCCGAAGATTCTAGCATATAGTTTCGAAAGGTGTTTGATTCTATATGTGGGTGAGGTTGTGGAATCAACTTCAAGATTGATCAGTTCCGAGATGAAGTCGTGAAAAAGAGTTACAGAAGATTCGGAGACAGATTGACTAAGTTGGGTAATTTGTAAGATATCTTTGTAATCTTTTTACTTCAGTAGTGGATTGATTTATGGCGTTTCGCCCGTGGTTTTTTTTTTAATCACAGTTGGAGGTGTCCAATTGTGGTTTTTTCCACGTAAAAATCTTTTGTGTCGATTTATTATTTAATCTGACAAAACAAACAATCTAGATCATTTTCGTAAGTGCTTGTTGATTTAGATTGTGTGTTTTTGGTTTTTTGGGATTTGGAATATTTTAATCTTGATCTAATCACGAATCACTTAGATTTTCAATTGGTATCAGAGCGGGTCACTCTTTGTTTTTTCAAAACTATAGGAGTGTGATTTTGTGTGATTAGTATCATGGATTCTATTCGTGAAGGTAACTCCACTCATAGACCCCCTTTACTTGACGGTACAAACTATTCTTATTGGAAAGCTCGTATGAGAGCATTTTTAAAATCCATCGATGAGAAAGTTTGGCACTCCGTAATCTTTGGGTGGAGTGAACCTACAATCACCGTTGATGGGATTGATATTCCTAAACCCCTTGATAAATGGGACACAACCGATTACCAGAATTCGAGTTGGAACAGCAAAGCTCTCAACTCCCTCTTCTGCTCTGTCACACCTGAAGAATTCCGTCGAATTTGCACGTGTGAAATAGCCAAAGAGGCGTGGGATATTCTTGAAATGATTCACGAAGGTACTACCTCTGTTAAAAGGTCAAAACTTCAACGTCTCACGTTCGCCTTTGAAACCCTTTTTATGCGCGACGATGAGACGTTCGATGAATTTTATGCAAAACTCAGTGATATTGTGAATTCCTATTTTACTCTCGGTGAAAAAATCCCGGAAGCAAAAGTTGTTGGAAAAATTTTGAGGTCCCTTCCCGAGAGGTTCCAACCAAAGGTGACAGCCATTGAGGAGGCTCAGAATGTTGATACCCTCAAGCTCGATCAATTGGTTGGAAATTTGCAGACTTATGAAGCCCACCAAATTTCTAAGAAAAAGCAAAAAGAAAATATGGCTTTCACGAGTGCCCATGAGACTGCAAAACCTCCGGAGACTGAATTTGATTTAGAGTCTGAAATGACGGCTATGCTTACAAAACAGTTTAAAAAATTTTTGAAAAAGAAGCCGAATTTCAGAGCCCCTACTTCAAAAGATAAGAGTAATGACAAACCCAAAACTAACTAAAAAAGTCAAAAAATCAACTAAAAAGTCATTGCCAAACAAAAGCTTAGTGGTCTTTTAGTAACCTTGGTAAAAACGCTGTGTTTGTAGTTTGGGGGAAAAAAAGTTACATTGGCTTTTTTAGAAAGAAGTCATTTGGTAAGGTGAAAAAAAGCTACAAAAAAAATTACAATTATACCTTTTATATTATTTAGGATTATACATGGGTGAATATGTAAATTTTTTAAATTTAGTGGGGATAGTTTGATGATTTTATTATGATATGACATCATAAATAAATATTAGGAAAATGCCTGGTAGCTCGAAGCTACCAGGCTCGAAAATGGCTCGAGAGGGAGAGAGGGAGAGGGAGAGGGGGAGGGGGAGAAAGAAATCACAAGTCAAATCAATCTACACAACAAAGCCAGTGCTTGAAATAAAAGAAATAATTAATAAAAAAAGATTAAAAACAAACCCAAACAATCACAGACCTCAACGGAACAGGTAATAAGTTCCTTGAAGATGTCATCAGCTACAATGTCTAATGTAATGATAAAGTCTTGCAGGGAGCTCATCAGCTACAATGTCTAATGTAATGATAAAGTCTTGCAGGGAGCTCTTTGGCAGTGATGAAAATACAGATCATAGACCTTATATCCCATATAAAAATTTTAGCTCTGTAAATGGATCAAGGCAGGGCTTAATATACTCGACCCCACCCCAAACCCAAGTCGGTTTATAATATCCCTATCAAAACTCATCCTTAATTTGATTAAGATATTCCTAATAGGAGCAGAGAAAAGTGGCAATCCCATATACCTGGTTAAGTTTCCATCCCTATCAAAGAACTTGCTACTTAAGAAACAAAAACAACACTCGTTGCAACCACAAGTTTAATAAATTCGTTGATAGACAACCAAAACACATGATACTAACAAATAATTTATCCCAAAACAAATGTAGACATTACAACATGACAATTCCAAAAGTAGAGGAAAAATAAGAAACTTTTAAGGATGTCACCATAACGTAGAAATAAAACAAGTTGATTGTGTGTAACACGCACCCACCCAAAAAATAAAACAAAATCAAATCATGACATAGTTCTAGAAAGAAAAAAAAAATAAGGCCATTCCTAGATGTCATATTTCCCCATTTCGTAAAGTAAAGGCATTTCAAAATTAATCTTTAATTTTCAAATCATATCATCATTACAAAGCAAAAAAACGTTCCATACATAAGCAAGTAATTTTTGTTTTTTTCCCCAGATTGAGAATTCATCACAAATGCCTCAAACATTCTTTGCCCTATGAAGGTAAGAAATTAGGTCCAAAGAATCTAAACCCAACTAGATCCATCAAAAAATCAACTTCCATCAAATCTCGAGCTATCTATCTTCAAATTCAGGAAGGCGATCCACATAAACAAAGACATTTAATAAGAAATAAACATTTCAACTATTAAAAACTTGCTCAAAATTGAGAAATGCGAATCACGTACCGCTATCGCCGATCAGGAGGAGCTTTATGAGGTAATCGTAATCGGCTCTAGCCCTTGCAGGTGGAGCAGCCATTGAAGAATCGATCCGAAAACCCTAAAAATATATAATTTATGTTTCTCTGTTCATAATGAAGCAGCAACAACAACAATATACATCAATATCAGAAACAACTAAAAGAACAAAACATAACACACAAAAGAAGATGAGAGAGAGAGAGAGAGAGTGAAATTAACAGAAGAAAATACCGGATCAAGAGTGAAGAGAGAGAAAATAAGGAGAGAGATCGAACATGGAAGAAGATGAAGATCCAGAGAGAGAGAGAGAGAGAGAGCTGTGATTGTGAATTTACCGAATGACAGGAGACAAGCTTGATCGAATGGTCCACAGTCCGACCTGCGAGCTCCCTACAATGGTGGCTATGATGAGCACCTCACCTCCCTCTAGTTTTACCTTTTTTTAGCGTGCGCCGATGCTCCCCTGCGCACGCTAGCAACAACGGAGAGAGTAGGAATATTCAGGTGCTCCTGAATACTATGGCATGTTTTGGGAAGTGTTGTTTTTTTTTTTTTTTTGGCCCTTTTTGTTTTTTTGTTTACTTTTGTTTTTAGTGAATTTATTTTAAAAATTTAGGTTGTGTTTGGTTATGTATTCCAAACATATGTTTACCCATTTATTTGAGTGTAGTGTTTGTTTTAAATTTTTAAATTATAATTTGAAACTTACTTTTGAAAACTAAGTAATAAAGAAGCATAAAACCAAAACCAACATAAAAGCTTCAAGAAAAGCTTTAAATCAACATCAATAATGCAAAACATGTATATATAACTCAAGGAAGTCCCTACCTCAAGTTTTGAAGAAGATAAGAGAGGAAACCCTAGAATCAAAAGGTGAGAAATTTTTGATCTCCACCACACTAAGTGAAGCTCTAGCTTTGATCTTCAAAACTTATGAGAGAAGATGGATCTAGACCCAAGGGATTGCAAGAAATCAAGGGTCTTGGGTGTTTAGGGGAGGTTTTTAGAGAGATGGAGGAGCAAAACACTTTTTATAGTGAGAAGTAAATGTTTAGAAATGATATACATTCAGCCCGAAAGAAAGAAAAAAATAGAGTTTTCAGACTATCCAGCATCTTGCACGTGCGGCATGTGCTCCGTACGTACGGAGCCTATCTCCAGTACG